CCAACAATTTTTACTTGGGGAAGGTATTCAAACACATTTAATATACTTTAATCGATTCAAGTCATATTAATAGACTGTCCATATTATTTGTCTAGAAGGTTAAAAAGAGCCTATTCAACAATCTCACAAAACTACTTTTTTTTTTTTTTTAAGTAGGCTCCACACTAGGTTGTGGAGCCCTACACGGGGCTTCAACTCATGACCCTGAGATCAAGAGCCGGACGCTTAACCAACTGAGCCACCCAGGTGCCCTTCACAAAATTACTTTTAATCTAACATGATGTGAGGAATCTTGTGGAGATTTAAAAAAATGGTTATGTGGTATAAGAAATGTATTTGTCCATGGCTTTTGACAAAGCTTCTAAAGCCCTAGAATTTTCTGGGTGATGGAAGGGTTTTGTGATTCATAAGGAATATCTGTGAGGTTATGAAAATAAAGTGACTTAGGGTAAGGCCACTGGGGTCACCAAAAAGACCAGGTAACTGAGGATTGGAACTTTCAGCTCCACCCACAGACCTCTGGGAAAGGTTTGTGGTGTGGAAGGAGGGAGAACCTGCAGATTAATTTCTATAAAGTCTTGAACAAGATTTAATGAACTTCTGGGTTGGTAAACCCAGGAAATATGCCCCAGTTCCACAGGAACAGAAGCTCCTGTACTCAGATGTTTCTGGACCTCACCCTATGTACTCTTCATTTGTATCCTTTATAAAAAAGACAGTCAATGTAAGTGAAGTGTTTCCCTAAGTTCTGTGGGCCATTCTAGCAAATTATTAAGTCCCCAATTTTAAGCCTGTAGGTCAGAAATAGGGGAGGCCCAGACTTACCACAATGGGAGCAATCTTGTGGGACTGAGCACTTTATGGGATCAGATGCTGACTTTATGTAGTGCCAGAATTAGATTAAATTGTAGGACACCCAGCTGTTGTCCGCTAAGAATTAGAGAACTGCTTGGTGTGGGGAGCCCCAACCCCCCCCACTCTGGTATCAGAACTACTTAGAGTAGAGAAGAAAAGAAGCTATATATTTCAGGGGAGGAAAGGCAGTCATGTATAGCTAGGTTACTTCTATTTCCTTCAAAGTCAATATCTACAAGTTCTTTTTAACTGAACAGTAAGATTTAAAAATGCCCAAAGACCACCACAGAAAACCCCAATAAAGTTTACAAACTGTGCAGATCTTCAAAGATGGGTTATCTGACTAAGCCTTCATTATTTTTGAAATATACAAGGTTCCCTGGTCAAGATAAGTCAAAAAAATATTCTAACACTCACAGATGCAACTTAGCCCAAATTAACCTTGTCTGTCTGTCACATTTACCACTGTCCTTCGCTAGAACAGGCTCTGGCAATGATTTTATTACTTGAAAACTATAAATCTTCCAGCCTTCTATCTGGGGCTACTTCTTGCTGGTTCAGAAAACATTAGTAGGAAAAAAACAACCAAAATTTCCCACTCACCTTTCTTGTAAAATATATTCACCTGCTTTAGTTCCTTATCTAAAATACCCACAACCACAGTTCCATTCACATGGCTCTAGTTCCAGTTCTGGTTTAGGTACACATTTGTCCTCGTTAAGCCAACGGTGAAGAATGTACCAGGACAATCATAAACCAGGAAGAACTTCCACTAACTTTAAGAGGGACTTATGTATACCAAAAGAAGTGGCAGGTTATTTTGTTAACACACAAAGAAACTAACATTCAACCAGATTTATATGAAACTAAATAAGTATGTTCCACAAACTTAAATTTAAGTTATATGTGTAACACTTCTTTCAGCTCAGAAAATTAAGTGTGATGTGGGCTACAAAAAGACTCCATCAAGTTCCCTATTTTAGCCATTTTGGCTCTTATAAATGCTCTTCCACAGACATGACAACATTAAGATAGTCTGTTATAGGGGCACCTGGGTGGCTCAGTTGGTCGAGCATCTGATTCTTGGTTTCAGCTCAGGTCATGATCTCAGGGTTGTGAGACTTAGCCGAGCCTCATGTTGGGCTCCATGCTCAGTGGTGAGTTTGCTTCTCTCTCTAAATAAATAAGTAAAATTTTTAAAATAAAATAAAGTAAGTCTGTTGTCGCTTAGATTACAATTTGAGTCATTCCAGCCTTGTATTTTCGGAAAACATAAAGTATATTCATTGCACTGTGTAACACACTGGTTCAAGTCCTAGGCTGTGCTACACTTCAGATACCAAGTTATTTAACCTCTCAGCCTCATGTGCCTTAGCTATCAAAAGGTGGCAATACTTCTTGTGAGAATTAAATCAAATAGTGTATTGCTTAACACAGTGTCTATAACATACTAAGCACCCAATAATTACTGTGCTTAGAAACTTTACTCTGTTCAGATGTACTTAATTACTGAGCCCATTTTGCAGTGGTTCCCTTTTTAAGCTACATTTGGGTGATATTATCAAGAGATAATCATAAACTGACTCTCTGTGTAGTAACAGCATTCCCTTCTAGTGCTTGATGAAGGAAGCTTATTCTCAGATTTGTTCCTAGCCGTGTTACCTAGCTACTTGAAACTTTCAAGCTCCCCTTTCAAGCTTCTAGAGGCCTTATCCCTTTGATTAGCAAAGTTCAGTAAAGTTTAAAGCACACTAAAATTGAGGTTCTTATATACAACTTTTCTTCTAAGTGATGGGGTTAGTTTGGACATCTTAGACAAGGATCAAAATTACTCTTATCCCAGCATACCTTATAGTTTTTGTTAAAAACAAACCAATCTGATTTTCATGCCCAGAACTCTACACTGCTAGGAGGGCAAAAAACAAAACCGAACAAACCAAAAAACCAAAAAACCCCCAAACAAACCAAAAACAAAACAAAAAAACACCTTTATTTCAAAAACAATTCTATTAATCCACTACTAAGTTTCACTTCGTGCTAATAACCATGCTTGAACACATCAGTTTTCTCCTTAAACCCAAAGGCTACACCCCCAAACACCAGTACGCATAGATTCATTTTGTCATCCAGTCTGTCTTTAAAGATCATTACATTTCTCCTTAAAATATTTTAGCATTAGGCAAAGAAAATATTTCTCACCATACACTATGATAATCTGAGTCTGACTTTAATACAATTCAGCCATGAACATGCAATCTTCCTATTCCCTAAAAGAAATTGGTAAGTACTGGGAAACTTCTGAGCCAAACTAAATACAGTTGTGGCTCCTTACTGATACCCAGAGATGGCAAAGATTTAAAATTTTCATGGGATCAAGATGCAACCAAATCCTGAATAAAAGCAAAGCAGGACATGATTATCAACCATATTATTTGTTTAAATGAAGACTACTCTCAGCTATTTTAGACAGCTTAATCCTTGTCTAAAATGTCCAAACTAACCCCATCACTTAGAAGAAAAGTTGTATATAAGAACCTCAATTTTAGTGTGCTTTAAACTTTACTGAACTTTGCTAATCAAAGGGATAAGGCCTCTAGAAGCTTGAAAGGGGAGCTTGAAAGTTTCAAGTAGCTAGGTAACACGGCTAGGAACAAATCTGAGAATAAGCTTCCTTCATCAAGCACTAGAAGGGAATGCTGTTACTACACGCAGTTATTTTTAACGTTACTACGCTCAGACAATAGGCAAATTATAGTTGTAAATTCACATTTTAGACTTTTTCAGAGTATATAATGTATGCAGATTCTAATGTGTGAAACTGCCCCCAAACTAAAGTGTTAAGAGAACAAATCTACAGATCACATCCAACTTTAAAACACTGCAACAACAATCCATAAAAGTCATACTCAATTGAAAGTAACACAACAGAATATCCTAGTGAAACAAATCTAATTCCTGGTAGTGCATCATACATAATGGGTCATGACCTGTACTACCCCTCCTGTATAATATGCTCACACTTGGGAGAATAATTATTCAATCTACCATGTGGCAAAAACCCATCTGTGTTCAAATTTCTATAAGATTATTAAATAGGTCTGAATATTTTATTAAATTCAAAGAAACAAACTTAAGAAATAAAAAATAAGCTGCCACCTTCAGTTTGTACTAGGGAAAGAGTTAGCAAAAGCCCAAGTCACTGAACTGAGAGTCAAACTTTCAGAAGCTTCATTTCAAGCAGAACTGTCACTAATTTAATAAGAACAAACAAAACACAACGACAAAACCAATCTACTAACTCTAGGCCTTCCATGTTAACTAAGCACACCTTATTTCATATAGTAACAATTAAAAGCCTGATTAATTCTATCACTGCAAATCAACCAATTAAGGACAAACCTGGGCTGGAAATCAGAATGTCCAATTCCTGTGTTGAAAACAAACTTTCAACATGGCCTGGAGCAAGGAACTCTGCTATTCTAAGAATGCTCAGACATACAAATATGTAATGTTCCAAACGCTTTTTTTGGGGGGGGGAGGGGGATCACTTCCTGTAAGCAAAAAGTTCCTGTAACTGGGAAAGGAACAAAACAAATAAACTAAGAAAATGGGAATACCTGTGACACACCTTCTCCAAACGAGTAATTCTTTTTTAACTTAAAAATAAAAAAGCATATACAGCCAGTTTCAATCTAACCTTCCCATAGTGCACATCCATAAAATTTACAAAAGGAGACGCAAAGCCCACCTAATTCAGTTCTAAATTTCAACAAGCATTAGTACATCAGGCACCTCATCCCTGAAAGTTCCAGAGAGATGCCGAAAAGGACCCCATAGTTAACAGTTCACATCAACGGCCCCATAACCCGGTTTCTCCTGTATATACAGATGCGGATTCGTCCACCAAAATCTCCTCTCTACCACACCCCGCACACGTTGGCATTTTCATTTCATAGGTGGATACCTCAACAGCTAACACCAGGAAGCTCCGGGGTAATTGGAGGACTTGGGGGAAGTCATCTCGGAAGAGGTGGAAGACCCAGAGATATCACGGAAAGTCAGAAAGAGGTTGTCCCTGACCACCTCTCCTTCGTGTCCCATCCAAACTTCACCGACCCGGGTCTCAGAAGACCGGGAGGGGGAGGCCATTTTAATGAGACCTGGCTGAGAAACATGAAAGAGAGGAAATCAGGGAAGGGCGTTCGGAAAGGAAGGCCGAGCCCTTTCCCCCAACAGCACCCGAGCAGGGTGGCAGCACCTGGAGCTCGAAGAGGGAGGTGCTGGATTCAAGGGCCTGGAAAGATTCAAAAGTAGCAATGGCCTTCCACGAGGGGGTCAACTGGTCCGAGCCCCGGGAGCGGGGCCCCTTACCCCGAAGCAGGGGAAGGACCCCTTCTCCGGCCAACCGCGCAGACCCTTGCCCCTGAGTCGGGGGCAACTACCCAGAGTTGCCCAGAGATCCAGAAGGCGGGAGTTGACTATTGCCTGGTTCTCCTCATCCGGCCATGCGGCGCGGGGGCGGCCATCCTGAGGGGTCCGGGAACCAAGAGGGCACGGGGGGGCCGGACGCGGCGCTCACCCGCGGGCCGCCTCCAAGCTCTTGATGAGCTTCTTGATCTTCCAGATCTCCACGTTCCTGTCGGCAGCACTGGGGTCGTCCGCCATCTTCTCGCCTCCTCCTCCCTAGAGCGGCCCGGCGGGGCCCGGAGACACCAAGACCACAGAGTTAGCGCCGCCGCTGGGGCAGAGCGGCCCCCTTCCTTGCCACCCCCAAGAGGCCCTCTTCTTCCCGCCCCGCGCGGCCCGCCGCGGCGGTCGCTGGCCTTTTCCTCCCTTGGCTTACCTAAGGGCCCAGTCCTGGGCGGCAGCGGCTGCTCCTCCCCGGCGGCGGCTCCGCGGCGGCGGCTCTGACGTAGGACACCGGTTCCCTCTCTCCAGGCAGCTGCATGTGTTGCAATCCGCTCACATGGGGCCTGTGACATCACTTCCTCCGCCAGAGGCTGAGTGGAAGTCGGCGGGCGGAAGGGAGGGGGCCTGTGCGGAAGAGAGGAAGCTCTGCGCGCGCCGCGACTTGCCATTGGCTGTCCGCGCCGCGGCCTACAATGAGCTCGCTGATTGGCCGCAGCTGGGGCCGCGCTGCCTTGTGAGGTAGGGCCCGGGGCGGGGAAGTACCGCCTTCCTTCCGGTCCGGCTAGCGGAGTGGAGGAAGCGGGCGGAAGCCGGTGGCTCTCGCGAGGATTTTTTCAGCGACCCGCTAGCCTCCCATGGGGGTGTTTTTTAAAGGGCGAGGCGCAGGGGTCGTCTCTTTTCCGTCCCTCTTTGGTGAATGGAATGGGCATCTGAAAATCTACGACTCGCGGCTAAACGATTGGGCCGGAACACACAATTTGAATTGCGCCTGAGGAGTCTTAAAGAAACGCCTGAAGCTTCGCGGCTTCCTACCGGCCAAAGTGCTCCGGCCGACGTGCGTCACTGTTGCGCGGACTAGTGTTCAGGCTCCTAGCCCGAAATTTTCTTCTGGTGGTCCGGGACCCCGCCACCCGCAAGGGCAAAAGAGGCGCGTTACGTCTCGCCTCCGCGCTCACATGGGTTCATTTTGGACCTGGAGTTTTGTGAGGACGGGAGGGGAAAGCAGGGGCTGCGGGAGATTGGAAACCTTGAGGTATTTGAGCCCACGAATGGTTTAGTCTGAGCTTTTGAGAGTGGAGGTGGGGAGAGTGTTGAAGCAAATGGGCAGCTATATAAGTTGGAACTTTATCTTTTTGAGTTAGAATTTTTAGTTGACTCTCTCTTCACCTCAGTTGGATTTGTTCAAATATTTGGGCCCAAACTGTGCTAGATTCGGTTTTCCCGAGGATGCTGAGGTGAACTGGATATAACAGTGCCTACTTAGTGGAGCTCTCAGTTTCGTTGGGTTTATAACCATTTGTGATTGTGTACTTTTGTATAATAATTGCATAAATACGTAGGTACTCTGGAATGCTGTGAGAGTGTAATAAAAGGGCCTAATTTTGGAATGAGACCCAAAGAATGAGTAGGGGTTTTGTCAGAAGAGAGCATAACACATTAAAAAAAAAAAAGTGTGTGCTTAAAAAGCCAGTATGCGGGAACAAGGTCAGGAATGGCTGAAGTAGCTTGAGGAGGAGACAGAGGACAGATCATTTAGAGCCTTGAAAGCCAGGTTTAGGAGTTTGGCTTCTTTTAAGAACAATGGACAGCTTAAAGGGCTTATAGAGGTAGGGAAATGACATGAATGTATTGTTATGTTTTTAAGGAGATGGTTCTGTTTGGATTGGAGAGAGCAAAAGTGGAAGCAGAGAGATCATTTTGGCTGCTGCAGTCATTCATGTGAGAGATAATTATAGCTTAGACTAGGGTGATGATAGTGCAGATGGAAGTCAGTGATATACAGGGGGTTAGAATGAATAGGACTGGATGATGGATTGGATGTGGAGAAAGCAAGAATGTTCCCAGAGCATGGAAATGGTTACATTTACTGAGATGGGAAAAATGAGGAGCAGGTTTTGAGGGATGATTGGAAATTTCCTCTTGGGCCTATTAAGTTTGAGACATGGAAGTGGTGATGTCAGACAGGCAGTTGCATTTACGTGCGCTTTGAGTCCTTTTTGCATGTTATCTCAACTTTGCTCACACCTTTGAGATGGGAGTATTATCCCCATTTCATAAGTAGGGAAACTGAGGCAAAGAAAGGTGAAAGGGACTTGCTCAGAGTCACACAGCTAGTTTATGGCTTCCAGACTCCATGTTCAGTGTCCAGTGCATTTTATCATGCAGCAACCCATTACCTCTGTTACCATAAGGTAAGGACACATTTCCTACAGGGTAAGTCTCTCCCCCAGCAAATGAATTCCCAGGGTGGAATCTCTTCTTTAGTTACCATTTTGTAATTCATGGGATGTGTTCATTCATTACACAGTACTTACTGTACTTCTTTGTGCCATTCACTGTGCTTAGCAATGGACCTTAAAGTAAATAATCATAAACACTTACTGGATGTGTACCATGTCCCAGGCTTTTCCCTACTTCATTTCTCTTGCCCCAATTCCTACTTTCTTTACTTGGTTGCCTTGATCTACATCTCTTCATTTTTATGTTTATAGCATTGCTTCAGGTCCATGTTTCATGGCTTTATAGGCTTTCTGGACCACCTCACAGGCTTGCTTTTATATGTGATTCATCCTGAAGTAAGATGGTGACATCTCAGAATTGCTGTTTGTCAGCATTTGAATCATTCAAACTTGGTAATTACTGAGAAATATAACTTGTTTCTTAGAACATTCTAATCCCAGATAGTTACACTGTAGCTCCCAAAGCTTACTTGCCTAGTTGCTGTAAATTCATCATCTCTTAGAATTGAAAACCAGTGTCTTACATGCAAATCCTGGCATTGATTTCTAGCAGAAGAGATTTGAAAGGAATAGAACAGGGAGATGCTATTTCCTTCAGCAAGGAGGAGGCTTTATAAATGCAACTATGACCGTCAGTTTCCAGGAAGAACCTCCTGTGACATAAGAGTGATACAGATTTTTTTCAAAATGACATATGATGAGTGTAGAATATATAACCTCTCTTGGCACAGCTTGCCCTTTTCTGAAAAATGAAGGATTTGTACTTGACTCAGAACTTCTCCAGGTCTAATGTTAGGTAATAAGGTTAAATATTGGGGGCGCCTGGGTGGCTCAGTCTTAAGTGTCTGCCTTCAGCTCAGGTCATGATCCCAGGGCCCTGGGATCGAGCCCCTCAAGCCCTGCATCAGGCTCCCTGCTCAGCGAGAAGCCTACTTCTTCCTCTCCCACTCCCCCTGCTTGTGTTCCCTCTCTCGCGGTGTTTCTGTCAAATAAATAAAACCTTCAAAACCAATAAAAATAAAGTTAAATATTGGGGTATAGATAACATCCCTAGTTAATGGGTGGAGGTGGGGGAGGGAAGGAGGATTGTTTTGATGTTGAAAATACCAATAGCAACTTGAGAACACAGTGCTGTTAGGTACAGAATGAAATTATTGGTTGCTGATGCGTGGGCCAGTTTTAAGAGTAGCCAAAGTAAAGAAAGCAGGGGAGGAATGGTTGTGGAAAGATTTCCTAAGGGCTGTACCCTTTGACTCTTTGGGAAGTCGATGGGGTTGTTAAAGGAAAGATCTCTGGAGCTAGGCAGCCTTAGGGTTGAACCGTGACTTTGCTCCTTACATTGGGTTGGGCAAGGCACTTAAATCTTGCAGAATTTGTGTTTTTATCATAAAATGGGGATACTGCCTATTTTGTGGGACTATTGTCAGATTAAATAAGTTGTGTAAAGTGCCTGGTACTATTTATAGCACCCATGTCAATAGTGAATGCTAATTCTCTTTTTAGTTTCTCCTAATTTGTTCTGTCCTCTTCCACTGTTTTCGGTACCCATCTGTTGACCTGCTACACTAGTTGTAGCAGAAAATTGAAGGTGAGAGCCTAAAGGTAGAGCAGATCCAAATTACAATTCCTAGGGATTTTTTTCCTGGTGGAAGGAGGGAGCTGGTAAAATGGTCTGTGGGACTTTTACCCTGTTTCAGTGGCTGGTGTGTTAATGTTAGAAATTTGGAACTTTTCACAGCTGGAGTTTAAGAGATTGGGTATTTATGTGGGGAGGGTTGTGTGGGTGCCAAGGAACAATTGTGGTTTAGGCCTAGAAATTGGGCCTTGGGCTGGTCAGCATCTAATAGTCATTGGATAACGCCTGCCTTTACTGTCACTGTGGCCATGAGATCAATTACAAGTGTCTTGTTGCTTGTGGCAGGATTTTTATGTGAATTGTTGTTTTGTTTTGTTTTTTTTTTTAATGTAAAGATTTGTTTTATTTTCTACTGGGGGTAGAAGGAGGATAAATACACTTGATCTTAGCCAAAAGGCCGAGGGGCAATTAGAAGGAAGATAAATAGAACTGTTTTCCAATTTGCTCTCCACTGTATACACACATACCCACACGCATACATACACATACACACACCAAAAATACCCCAACAAAAAAAAACAGAAAACTGAGACTCAAACACCAAAACACCCTCGAACTGCACCAATACTTCGTATTTTGACCAAAAGAATAGATCCTGGGAGGAAGTGCAAAATGCAAAATCAAATGACCGAGAAATGCTGAACAAACAGCATTATTTTTTTTTTAAAGATTTTATTTATTTATTTGAGAGAGAGAGAATGAGAGAGAAAG